GGGGCCGAGCCTGGAGCTGTATGTGTATGCGTGGTATCATATATCATGGCCTGGGATCCGTATGATGTCCTCCCCATTAATCCTCTGACCCTGGCATGGGGTTATGATTGTGTGCACATACAGCAACCTGGGGTGAGGTTGGAAAGCGTTGGGTTCTGGAAATCTCCCTAAACGTAGGTCCAGTGCTCTTCAATGGCATGCTGACCTTCTAGTCCACACCCAACCTGAACAGTATGTCATTTAGACAAGTTGACATCTTTAGTGCTTTTTATCAAGTGTATAAAACACCTCAAATTGGCTATTTCACCTTCATTTGCACTAGAAACACTAGCTCTGGTACATAAGAAGGGATATTGCTAGTTTTTGGACTTAATTTACATAAACCTTTAACTAAGTCCATTGACGATTAAACTTTTATTTTAATATAAACTTTAATGTTTGCCAAGCTAGAATTCAATCATGAATTTATTCCTTGTTTTCAATCGTAATACAAATAATCTATTCAACTTTCAGATGATGCACTCATTATTTACTTAAATATATTTAGATATTTTCAGCATTCCAAGAGGTTTATTTACTAAAATGTATATATATATTTTTTTTTTCTCAAATATTTGTTATTGGTAAGTTTAGGTTTATTTATACTGTACTAATTACAAAAAAAAGTAATTATATATTTTTTAAAAATGTATTTTACTTTTACAATTTAGGTGTATCATTTTTATATTTTCTTTTTTTATGATGTCTCCCGTAGTAGTGGAAACATTAAAACACATTTCTTGTAAACGTCCAGTTGGTTACACATTCTGGTAGCATCGAAAACAAACATTTCCAACAATACTTATATGATCAAAAGTTTTTTCATATACTCTATTAGTCAGAAATACACCTTAACACAGTATTTATTCTTTATTAACAAATTATCATGTTTCATCATCACTTAAACCAGTGAATTAAAAATGCAGTACTAACAGTAACTCTTTTGTAATTAAAAGCAGAACAGACAAAAAAAAAGGTTAATTGTATTTATGACAACCCTTTGACTTTTGACCCATGACTTTCAAAAGTTAATCAGGTTAAGAACTTTGTGTGTGATACCTGTTGTACCAGTTTGATCAAATTCTATCAAGATATCCTGTCCAGAAGATCAGGATGGATATGGACAAACCAACGTGCCATGCAGAGGGAACATAAAAAATTGTAGCTGTCATATCATTGTGTAACTAGGCTCAGTCATAGGAAAGATCTAGAATTTTCTCAGTTGTTCACTGTTGCCTAAATGCTGGTACCATCTAGTGAGTACGATGAACATCATTTATAAAAGTAGTTACCATTTATGTTACTAAATAACAGAAGTATACAAAACCAAATGTTTTGATGGTACTGACTGGCAAGTGGTCACACAGCTGAGTGTTAACTGTTAATGTTATCTATAGATTGTAGGCCTAGCGTATGTACAAAACTGTATAAGAGATAAATGCAAGCTATCTTAACCAGATAGAATCTACTGTACAATAAACACCTGACTGTACTTTAAAATAAATGTTTTTTTTGGGGGGTGGGGGATAAAATACCAATTTACTAATTACACTCAGTACAAGTAACTGATGGCAAGTGTAGTTGTGCGTACAACATGCTTAACGATGATTTTCCTTTCCGATATCTCTAACACAGGAAGAAGTACTAGAATTACTTAAACCAACACTAGTAACACTTTCAATGTCCCTACTTGATGTACATGCCACTAATATCAAGTAATATAACATACTATCAAAGTCGTTTTAATTTTAAAATAAAGCCACAAATCAAAGTTTCTAATTATCATATTTCTTGGTACTATCCTACAAAAAAAAATAAATAAACAGTCTCCCCTACAACTAAACTCAATTAAGAAGACCATTACAATATTTACAGAATTCCTGGATATTAATTCTAAAATTATCTTGCTCTTCACAGTACTTATGGCTTTAAGACAACCAAAAATAAGATTAGTTTTTTTTCATCTTTTTTTAACACATTATGTTTATGTCTGGTTATTTCTACAGTCTTTCTGTTCGTGATTAACCAACTTGGGGACTGATGTTCTATGTTCTACCTTCACAGGCAACTAGAACTCTTTTAATCTAGAAAAATAAGTGTTCTACAATACAAGACTCTCTTATGAAATGTTGAGTATTAAAATTGGAAAAACTATGAAGAAATACAACATTATCATGGATTGAGAAAGAGAGAAGTCCATTATTTGGAAAACTGCATTTCTTTAGACGTTTGACTCAAGTCAAATGAAAAAAAAAAAATGTGAATGAAAAAACACAATCAGATCACTCTTACACAACCACATTAGTGTCATTTTTCCTTATGATTTATTATTATGACTTTATTACATTCTTAATGTTTAGCTATTAAAACAGCAGAAACTACTACAAATGACATTCAGCCAGACAAATAAATAAGAATACAGTGGATTTCATTTATCATATTGTAACAATTCAAAATATAATGTCTCACCTACAAGATACATTTATTAGCAGCATAAAGCATGGTGTAGCTGTCTGTTTACTTTATATATATATATAGGATCTTGAAATCATATACATTTAGCTTCGGTACAAATAAACTGTTCTGCAAGATTTTTTATAAAGATCTAGTTAACTAAAGTGCCTTCACTAATTATTGTGTCTGACACTGTACACCACCTGCTCTATGGTGATTATGGTTATAATCTTCTTCATAGGCTTGTCTGTAACGATATTGTCTTCTTGCTTCTTGTTCAGGGTCTAAGTCCACAAGTGCCACCTATTTAAAAAAAAATTGTTGTTTATGTATGTGTATAAAAAATTCTTTAAACCTTAAGGTACTAGGTCATCATTTTTTTAATATCTTGTCACTTCCTTTAGAATCTTTTAAATCTTTAGGTAGTGTACTAATAATGTATTGTATAAAAAAAAGTGAAATCAGGCATGTTGCTATTGAGTTTTAAAATTAAAATATGAATTTTTTTTTTATACAAACAGATAACTAAATTTTCAAAGATACTAACTACATTTTTCTAACCCAAATTTATCTTACAGCACAATTTAAATTCAGCCAATATTTATAAGTAATAAGTTAAAATTTGTAAATAGTGTTAAGAGTTAAACAAACTTAAAATTTGACTTTAAGAACTATTTACCAATTTTTTTTTTTTTTAAAGATTGATACAGTTGTATACCTTTGGTTATATTTTATGGATTTTTCAGAAAAACAACCAACTATGCCCGGATTCTAGTTCCAAAATTCGTTACTACTTCAATGAACAGATTGTTTTAAACCGTGTGTGGATACATAAAATACTAGGCATACAATATATGCTTATTAACATTTTCCAAACTTAAAATGGTTGCAGGTTAATGTGGTTTAGGAAAATGTGTCTGTAAAACAAGTATTTGGAAGAGCATATAACAATAAATACACAAGAGAAATTACAAATAATTTAAGCTTTTTTCTTTACTGAAAATTTCAATGTTTGTATCATTACAGAAATTGAGAAGGTCCTTGAATCACTGCAATAACCAATTCTACCTTGTAAAGTTACGACCATGTGCCATTTCAGAGTTGGAGAACCAGTAGAAATATTAACAGATCTATGATGGTTTTATTCTAAATTTTTATTTTCTAGTGATAGATGAGATTGAATAAAACTTTTTAATGAATTATGACATATACTACTCACGTTAATATGTGTATAGTCCAGTTTTTTTGAATGAACTATCTGAAAAAAATATTTCATTACTTTTCATATCAGCACACTAAACAGAAGTTAGCTCGGGTGTTTTGGATGATAAATTTTCATTATCCATCGATTCAACTGCTATATAATTTTGAGATGATAGACTAGACAGAAGGCGGCTAGTCAGCACAATCTATCGACAACTCTTGGTCTACTCTTTATCAATGAAAAGTGGGACTGACTGTCATATTACAATGACTCTATGGCTGAAAGGACGAGCACGTTTGATGATGGTCGACCTAAGCTTGCAAGTTGAGTGCCCCTAAAACTAGGCCATGCCAGACGCACCTTTAAGACTCTTGTAAAGTTAATTTCAGTGCTAAAAATAGCCTTCCCTGAAATCCTATAAATAAGGTGTACAAAAAATCTATGAATATTTACCCTGTGTAAAACTTTATTGACATTAAAATATCATAATACTCTTTTTTTTTGTATATCATGTCACAGTTTTTTAAACCCAAATATTTACAGACTGACAATACAAGTGACATATTGATTATAAACTAGTTAAATTTGAATCTAGAAATCACGTTACAGAAAATGTGATCCACAATAATACAAGATAATGGCGAAGAGGTAAGTGTGCATGATACCAGATAATGGTGAAGAGGTAAGTGTGCATGATACCAGATAATGGTGAAGAGGTAAGTGTGCATGATACCAGATAATGGCGAAGAGATAAGTGTGCATGACACCAGATAATGGCGAAGAGGTAAATAGGTATAATACACACTTACCTCTTCGCCATTATCTGGTATAATACACACTTACCTCTTCGCCATTATCTGGTATAATACACATTTACCTCTTCGCCATTATCTGGTATAATACACATTTACCTCTTCGCCATTATCTGGTATAATACACATTTACCTCTTCGCCATTATCTGGTATAATACATTCTGTCCGTGGCGGTAGAAGTTCCTCTAGTTGTCCAGTAACAGAAGGATCAATGTGAGTAGGAAAGTTAACAGTAAACTTGATCACCAGCTGACCTTTCTCAAAGGGATCCTTGTACACAGGCATACCCTCTCCCAAGACACACTTAACTGCTCCATGTTTGATGATTTCTCCTGTATTTAGAAATAGAGGAAGAGCCCACATTAGGATTTCCAAAAAACAAAAGAAGCCAGTAATATTTATTAAACACATTAATCATTTCCAATTTTTCATTCAAAAAAATTAAAAATACAAAATCAAACAGCAACATTGAAATGGTTGTTTCTCATATCTAATTTCTTGATTACTATCCTTTAATGTAATTTAAAAGTTTAAGCCTTACATTATTGATATCTAGGTGCAGCCAGCTTCAGCGTAACATTCATGGTCTAGTGGTATCAAGGAAGTTTTTTGCTATAAAGGCACATAAAAACAAAACAAAACAGTTTGTTAGTTTGTTTTGAATTTTGCGCAAAGCTACACGAAGGCTATCTGTGCTAGCCGTTCATAATTTAGCAGTGAAAGACCAGACGGAAGGCAGTTAGTCATCACAACCCACTGCAAATTCTTGGGCTACTCTTTTACCAATGAATATTGGGATTGACTGCCACATTATAATACCCCCATAGCTGAAAGGGCAAGCATGTTTGTTGGGATGGGGGATTCGAACCTGCGACCCTTAGATTGCGAGTCAAGCACCCTAACCACCTGGTCATGCTGGGCCCAAACAAAAGAGACAGATTTCAAAGCCAAAACTACAGTTATTAAAAATTTCATGTAAGAAGCATTCAATGCGAGCTCGATTTACTAAAATATTAAAATACCCATTACTTTACGATGACAGTAATTATGTCAAGTGACACCGTTTTAATAATTGATTATTGAAGCATGATTAAGACTGGAAGTTTCTAAAGTTGCTAGGGTTAACATTACACATAAAATGCTGTTTTACATTATCACATCTGTTACTTGTGTGATTAATTCAATGGCTAAGTACACACACACACACACACAATGCACTTAAAATATTGTCAGACATCTTACGCAGTACAAAAATACAATAAATTATAAGTGATAGACCTTATTAATGAACTACAGATCCTTTGCTGACCACCTATGTCTCTGAAATTACATTTTAACTTGATGCCCCATACAACAGGTTCATCAGCAATGCACATGATCCTTCCTGACTAGTGTTTTACATTCTGCTTTTTTTACAGGATAATTTATTAAGGAAGGAAATAAACTGAGCTATGTGTAATAATTATCTTACAATAAATAATTATCATTTTCTTATACAAAAGTTTAAGTTAACTTTTAGAATGTATACAAAAGTTTAAGTTAACTTTTAGAATGTATACAAAAGTTTAAGTTAACTTTTAGAATGTATACATTCTCTTAAAAACAAGGTAAAAACTACAAAAACTTCTTGGTTGAAATTATCAGCCTTATTGATATTGAACATCAAATGAAGTCAGAACACATTATACAATCTGCCAATTCACACAGTAACTGTAATCTCTAAATAGCTTTCTTCTGATACTGAAGTTGAAAGACACCCTCACTCTCCAAATCTTTTGTTCTTCTCATGGAAACCACTTATTTGCACAGTAAAGTTCAAAATATTTTTTAATGATGAAAATCTTCCAAAATTCATTGTAACAAATATTGTTTGTTACAATGAATTATGGTTAAGTTACAGTTATTGATCAAAACACTTTAGTTTACACCTTAACCTGTATAAACTTTCACAGTTCAGTTGTCTGAAACCTCTACCAATAAGATTCTCTTGTCAAGTTTGTATAGATGTTTAGGTAACATCAAAATTTGGTCATTTTGATTGGTTAGATTTTTCCTAGTAT